ACTGCTTCACTGCTACTGAGCAGAACAAAGGAAAACTAGAGCCAACTGTGGTAAACATTACCTGAACTAAATAATATGCAAATATCTAAGCTGTAAAGTTAGTGAATAACTTAATGGTACACAGCAGAGTATATCTGCAGTTACAATACTCTTCACCCCATTATGTCAAAGTTCATAGGTCAAAGATTTAAAATGTTACTAATGGCAAACGATTGAACCGAATTCAATAAAATTTGATCATTAGGAACCAGTGACACCTCCTACACCCCTGTCTGGCATCTGTGGTTACATAGGAGTCATCGGGGTCAAATTTTCAAAATAGCCCAATTGAGCTCGAATTTACCAGGAATGATCATTAGGGCCTTCTAAACATGAAAAACTACTCTTCATCTATAGGTAAAAACTCACAAGGGTCACTATAGTGAAAATTATCAAATATTGCTAGTGACTGACGATTGGACCAGTTGCATTAGACAGACTCCTACCAAACATGGGGCTGTCTCTTATACACATCTAGATGTGTATAAGAGACAGATTTAACATCACAATATTCATTATTAGACCTATAGTTGTTTTTTGAATTGTAATCCACAAATCTCAGCCGATACCTCGCACAATGAGAGTATATAACCTCTCGTATCTATTGTCGTGACTTCATGGCTCGCTGGCTCACACTTGTGATATGTCTCGCACTTGTGATCAAATAACACGCTGGCTCGCACTTTGGCAACACTCTTTGGCAGTCAACTCGCCCCTAGAAAACCCGCCCTTGGAAACTTTCCCCATAAAAAAATGTACACTTCCTAGACCATGCAGTCTTCAAAATAAAAATTGTAACCTTTGGTAATCAACTACATTTTCCACATACATAGACATTTTTGAAACTTTTATTTAAAAAACCTAAACCATAATTCACCACACTATAGACACTTTTTGACAAAAATGAAAAATTACGACTTTGTTACCCAATGAGAAGTGTTCTAATATAGACAATGGGTCGTGTCTCATATGGGTCGTGCTCATATTACTTGTTATAGTTTTATTATTCATTATTTTCACTTGACTCGCATAAATAATTTTGTTCGAAGAACATTTATATGCAGTTGTACTTCGCAGCACTTCACTTGCAATTTGCAATTTCTAGTTGTATAGTAGGCTTATGCATTGTATTCGCAGAAATTTTACTCTCGGCATATTATTTGCCAAACTATGTGTACTGAAAGATAAATGGATTGATTGTTTGGCAGATTGTAAACAACGACAATTCGTTGCGGTTAACCATCATGAAAGGCACACGTGTGAAGTAGCTTCCTGATTAGCGTTCTATCTTTATTTGTATGTATTCAGACGTACATGTAGGCCTATAATATGTTTTGTGAGTATGTACTGTTTTTAGATAGGTGTGTGTGTATGTTTTTTTTAATTTTTTTTTTTTTGTGAAGGCAGCACATCATGAATTAAATTTCTTGTAGTGTTATAACAGGGAGTTGTTATTTAGAAACTCCCTGGTTATAAATTGAACAGATATTTTTTTTTAATTAATTGACTTTGAGTGTGGAAATAATAATGAACATAAATATAGTGAAAATGATGAAAATAGCGATGATATGTTATTATTATTAACGTGTTAAATATGTTAATGCTGCTACCGCTATAAGAAATGGGCCTATGCCCATACATATATAGGCCTATACCTCTCACAATTTGTTGTATGATCATATATAGCTCTGGTATACCAATAGAAAAAAATGGGTGGGGGAAATGTCCAACTGACCAATTGAAGGCCACGCAAGTTAGGCTTGAAGACCCTATAATCTGAACAATAGAACTAGTCACGGTATAAACATGGACCTATTAATAAGATCTTATTAATAGGTCCATGGTATAAACAATCAGGAGGATTAGTTTGCTCAAATCGTTAATGTTACCATGGACCTATTAATAAGGTTATTATTAATAGGTCCATGGTCCAAATAACAGAAATTACTTGTTTAGCGTCACATCACAACACAATTTTAGGTGTGGGGAGGGGTGGTGTTTTTTTTTTTAATTCTACAGTATCAGTAATAAAAAAATGTGTTAAAATGAATCATTTTCAATAGGCCTACAATACATATTACACCAAGTTGGTGAAATCATTGTTTTAATTCACTTAAAATAGGTCTATATTTATTTTGATTAGAATTTTCTGGACAATATTCTTTTTTTTTTATTTAAAAAAAAAATTCCCGCCTCTGAACTTTTTATTTTTCTTGAAAATTCAGGTGAGGGTGGTGACGCTAAACAATTTTATTTTTTTGCCTTAAAATCATATACAATTAGGCCTATATATATATACATATATATATATATATATATATATATATATATATACAGTATATATATATATATAATCTAAGAAGCTGCATAGGCAGAGCGACTCAGTAGAAATTTATTTGATACAACATGTTTCGGGCAAAGCCCATCATCAGGTATAAAGATCTGTGACAAAAACCGATAAATATGTAGCAGTACATTAATAAAGATATAACGTGAGCATCCAATCAAAATACAGATAATCAGCAGTCTTACGAGCTCAGGCATCGTAATAAACAAACAATATAAATAAAACAATAGAACAATGGGGCAGGCACTAAAATGGAGTCAAAATGGACACACTATATAGATATGTATTTATTTTTTACTAAATGCTACTGTATGGGGTGGTTTAAAAAGAACTTTATTGTTTTATTAAGATTCGAAACAAGATTCTCCTATCACTGTTTGATTGTCATCGAAGCTTGGCATGCTAGTGTTCTCTTTTGAATTTTTCACTGGGGCACGTTTCTGTCTCAGTATTTCTGAATTTGTGTATATATTATTTTAACTGTCACCAACAGTAAAGTTATATTTTTAAGACTTTTAATTTCCTTGCTAATATCACATGTTAATGTTTCCGTTTAAAGCTAATTGTTAATCAAAATCTGCTAAATCCCCGGTCTTGGGTTGCCAGGGTTACACCTGCGTCATGAATACACGTAGCAAAAACATAAAATTGCATTATTACATAATTATACGGTTAGCCCTAAATATTTTGAACGAGATTGATTTTAAAAAAATATTACGGTGTGCCTCCCCTCACAACGGTTGAATAAGCGCTCGACGGAGACTCTGAAGCCGAGCGAAGCACGAAAAGCTCGGACCACTCGGACTTTGGTTGATTTTGATTAGAACCTGTTTAAATTCTCCCGATTTTATGGTAAGATGTAGGCCAACAACAGCCGCCATGATTTTTAATGTATAAAATATAGACAGACAGAAACAAATCATTTGGTTAAATTACATTGGCCTATACAGTACTAAATATTTTCTTTTAACGTCGTCGTCGCGTGATCAAGGCCTGAATTCGTGCTGCGTACTGCGATATTATCAATGTGTTCCCAACGTGTTGTAATTCTACCTTGAATGATACAATTTAATCAATATTGCTATTAACGATTATGTCAGTTTAGTCAAAGAAGATGTTTGAAATATAGAT